AGTTGTTAATGGAAGCAAATTAGAAAACATGGATTTTTCTTTCCATTTGATCATAATGAGGCAGTACCCACCACCACTTTTCCTGCTGGGGCAGTCTCAGAAGAAGCCAGTTAAAGAGAAGATTCAAATAAGATCCAGAATCTCATAAAGTAAATGATATTATCCAGATTGCAAGAAAAAATCATTTATTGTACCAAAAGCCAACAAGATCTCAAACTGAATGAAAAAAGGCAATCAATGAACACCACATGACAGAGATTTTAGAATTATCTGACAAATATTTTAAAGCAGTCACGATAAAAAAAAATTCCCCAACAAACAATGCAAACACTTAAAACAGATAAAAATTTTAAAAGTGCCAGCAATAAATCAAAAGACTCAGCAAAGAAATGGAACACAGAAAGAAGAGTCAAATCAAAATGTTACACAAGAGGGATGCCTGGCTGGCTCAGCAGGTAGAGTGTGCAACTCTTGATCTTGGGTTTGTAAGTTTGAGCCCTGCATTGAGTGGAGAGGTTACTTAAAAATAAAATCTTAAAAAAATGCTACAGAAGAAAAGTACAATAACTGAAATGAAAAGCTCAATGGGTGTGCTCAACAGAGAATGGAGGGACTAGAAAAAAAGAACCAAGGAATTGAAGTAGAAAAGAAATTACCTAATCTAAACAACAGAAAGAAAGTAGACTAAAAAAAAATAATAAAGATGAACAGAGCACCCACGATCTGTGGGAATAAAGTAAACAATCTAGCACGTGTCACTGGAGTCACGAAACAAGGGAGTGTAGGGCTAAGGAAGTACTTAAGGAAGTAATGACTGAAAACTTCCCAAATTTGGCAAGAGATATACACCTACATATTACAAAAGCTGAGTAAACTCCTAAATGGATAAGCACAAAGAAATCCATGCCATGTACATTATAATTAAACTGAAAACTGAAGACAAAAATCTCTTGCAAGTAGCCAGAGAAAAAGGACACCTTGCCTCTGGGTGAAAGTCAGGAAGGGTATGAAACGCAACAGGATGCACTAATGAGGTATAATCAACACTCAAAGAACACTCTATTTACAACAATGGAATACACATTATTTTCAAGTATTCAAGGAACACATACTAAGGTAGACCATATCCTGGGCATAAAACTTAAACAAATTTGAACTGAAATCATCTAGAGTATGTTCTCTGATCACAGTGGAATCAAACTAGAAATTAATATCAAAAGTTAATGAAAATCCAAACAATTGGAAACCAAACAACTCACTTCTATAATAGCCATGGCTTGAAAAGGAAGATTCAATGGAAATCTAAAAATACATTAAACTGAACAGAAATGAAAATACAACATATCAAAATATGTGGGATACAGCTAAATTGGTACTGAGAGACATTTTACAGTACCAAATACATGCATTAGAAATAAAAAAAGTCTCAAACTAGTAATCTATGCTCCCATCTTAAGAACCAAGAAAAGAAGAAAAGCTAAATTCAAAACAAGGGGAAGAAAGTAAATAATAATAAAATAAGAGGTGAACATTTGAAAACAGAGTAGAGAAGATTACAGAGAAAAAAATCAATGAAACAAAAACTTGTTTCTTTAAAAAGATCAATGAAATTGGCAAAGCACTAGCAAGACTGACAAAAAAATGAGAAAAACCACAAAATTACTAATATTAGGAATACAAGAGGGAATACACCACAGACAACACAGACATCAGAAGGATAAGGGCATACTATGAACAACTCCATAGTAAGGGATCTGACAACTTAGACACACACACACACACACACACCTTCACCTGATTTGAAATGTTTACTGGTAGTGATGCAGCTACTAAGGAAAACAGTATGGAAGTTCCTCAAAATATTAAAAATTGAACTACCATATAATCCAGCCATCCCACGTCTGGGTATTTATCCAAAATAATTAAAAGCAGGATCTCCAAGAGACACTTGTACTCTCATGTTCACTGCAACTTTACTCACGATAGCCAAGAAGTGGAAACAATCTAAATATCCATTAAAGGGTGAATGAATAAGGAAAATGAGGTATGTATTTTCAGTGGAAATCAGAGGGAAATTCTGTCGTATATTACAACATGAATGAACCTTGAGAACATTATGTTACGTATTTATGAGTACTTAAGTACCTTATGAAGTAAGGTAGTCACAGAAAGGCAAATACTGCATGATCTACTTAAATGAGGTATCTAAATTCGTGAAATTCATGCAGAAGAGAGTAGAATGGTAGTTTCCAGGAGCTAGGAAATATGAGGAAATTATTTTTCAAGGGGTATAGTGTTTCATTCATGCAAGATGAAAAAGTTCTGAAGATCTGCTGTACAACATTGTGCACATAATTAGCAGTACTGTCCACTTACCACTTGGTAAAAGGATAGACTTCATATTATGTGTTGCTTACCACAATAAAAAAGGTTAATTGCTACTGTTAAGATTCAGAAAATTATGCATAGTATGACTGATTCTATTTGTAAATATATATACATATATAATGCATGGAAATATGCATATATCTTCATTTGCCTAGAAATGGCCTAGAGAGAGATACACATTAAGGTGATAACAATGACTAACCTTGTGAAGCATAAGTAAATGAGGGAAATTTTACTTTACCTTTAAGAACTCTATTTGTTTCTGTTTTTTGGGGCGGATGTGGAAATTATAAACCTATTGTTGGAAAAATTTCCTTTGTTATTATGAATAATGTGATGTTTAATCAGACTTCAATATAAACAAAAAATGAAAATAAAATGAAGAACACAGATAAGAAAGCTTAAAAATTCTTAATTTGCCTCAAGAAACAAAAAAGGAAAGGAACTGAAATGTATGAATCAGCAGGCCCTTAAAGAATTAGTGGCCAGAGCTGAACATGTTATTTTAGGACATATGTCCTTTTCCTAAAGCCATTCAGGGTGATGGGGCTTGAGAATATATAAAACAGCCCATAGATCACATTGTAGCTGAAGGGATTCATGCTTGCATTTAGTTATGAAGTTCAAATTGGAAGCTGTTCAGGCAGAAAACTAATAGAAATGGGTGATAGCTAATTAACCTAAGGCTTCAAAGTAATTGCTCTGCAAGAAGCAATTTAAAAGAGACCTTTCTCCTTTTTTTATTTTTGAAAATCAAAAAATGCCCTATTTGACTTTTGGTGCATGAGCAAAAATGTATGTATACACACAAATATTGATTTTTTTTTTAAATTTCTACCTTATCCAACTTCTTGGTAACGTTTTAAAAGGCCAAAAAGAACCACAAGAACTGTGTTTATATCAATACTGAGTATCCCAGGTTTAGGACTTTGTGGTAAATAGAAATAATCAGAGTAGGTTCCTGAAGTAAATGTGGGTAAGAAGATAGGGTTGTACTGATTAATTCAGCCCTGAGCCACGCGCCTCACCATTAGAATCAGTAGAGCCAGCTATTCTAAAGCATACGGTTGTTTGGTAGAGAATTGCGTCCCCTAGCAAAAGCATGGTGTTCTTGTGAAAAGAGAGAGGAATGAATTACATCCCAAATCATTCTCTGTCTGCCACAATCTACAACTCTGGCTTCCCATCTTCTGTGCATGGTTCCTCATATTTTTCAAAAATATCCATACCTATCATATACTCATTCCTTCTCAGAGAGGGGTGCCCCATATTTCCTACATTTCTATATCCAGTTCCAAATATAGATACTTTGGGTAGTATGGTGTTCTCTCCCTTTCTGACTTACAGCTTCATGGCCCATAAGCTTCATGCACAACCCACAGATTTGGAAATAACACCAAGGTGAAGAATTCTTATCAGAAGAATTCTTATCAGAAAAAAAAAAGAAGAATTCTTATCAGAACTTCCACAACCATGGATTCAGTCTTTAATTACATATAGACTAGTCTAGATACATGCTGGGACCATCTTCCCTGACCATTGTCTAAATTTTAGAGTTTTACATTACCTAATATGACTATAGACTAGTATATATTCATAAATAATTTCTGAAGAAATGTGGTAAGTTTTCTAGGTGTCTCCAAGAGTCAAGCTGTCAATAATTTAGATTTCCCATAGAATTAGAACTCCCATAGAACCATGGAAGTTCTTTTTTTTTACGATTTATTTATTTATTTTAGAGAGAGAGTGAGAGAGCAGAGGAGGGCCAGTGACAGACAGAAAGAATCCTCAAGCAGACTCCTCTCTGAGCGTAGAGCCCGATGGAGGGCTATATGCCATGACCCTGAGATCATGACCAGAGACAAAATTAAGAATCAGACACTCAACCAACTGAGCCACCCAGGAACCCTGAACCATGGAATTTCTTAAGATGGCTACTGTCAGTTGTCCAGGATTCAAATTTTCAATGTATTTTCTTCCCAACCTTAGGTTTGACTCTGATATAGTTAGTTTAGGATTGTGTTTATCCTGCACGAACTACTCTGGTCAAAGAAAGAATGATTGCATAGATTGATTTTTTAGATCTGAACCATTTTTCCTTCTGGTAGAATCAGGGTGGGAAGGATTTTCCTAAGGCACATTGGCTACATGGTAGAGATGAGGACAGAAAAAAAAAATAGCATGTTTTACCAAGAAAAGTGGAGTTAATTTTTTAAGACATAAAATGCATTCAAAAGTTATTTAATTTTCATTGTTGTTCATGATTGTCCACGATTAGATTGGAAACTACTTCAGGGAAGATATCATGTTCTAAGATTTTGTTTGTCTGTTGGATCATGAAATGGATAATGATGTGTGGAGAATTTTACCTCATCAGCTGGTTTATAATTGCTAACCACAAGATGTTTGATAAATGGCAAGTTTTTTTTAAAGGATTTTGCTAGTTATGCCTTATCTTTTTAAAAAAAGAAAATTAGATAATTTACCTAGCCCTTGCCATTTACAAAATTATGGTAACATAGGGCTTAGAAAAAAGGCTTTTTCAAAATTATATGTCTCCTGGATTGTGTTTTATATAATATTAATGTCTGTTTATTTGTCTTTTGTTTCAGGATTTATTTATACATGTGGTGGAACTTTAAAAGGACTTAATGGCACTATAGAAAGCCCTGGTTTTCCATATGGATATCCAAATGGTGCAAACTGTACATGGGTAATAATAGCAGAAGAACGGAATAGAATACAAATTGTTTTTCAGTCATTTGCTCTAGAAGAAGAATATGACTACTTATCCCTATATGATGGACATCCTCATCCTACAAACTTTAGGACAAGGTTAGTGTGTTTTGAATGGAAGAATGGAAGGGAAATCTGTTATGGGTAAAAGTTTACTTTACACAAGATACTTAAGATTTGTGATACAATTGTAATAAAGTCATATTCACAGTTTAATTTTTGTTCATTTGGAAATACATCATCTCATGCACAAATTAGCTCAGTATCTTTGACTTCATAATACTAGTATGTTAATATTATCTCTCAAAAGAGTGAACGTAAATTGAATTATGACCTCTTTAGTTTGGTTAAAGGTATTTTTTTTTAAATACTTATTTTCAGGCTTCATTAGTTATGGGCATAACTGTTGATAAAGTGAAAGCATACCATGCAATGTGGCTACTCAACTTTAATATACAACAATATGCAAAATATGCAAAAATCAATATTCATATAAGAAAATACATTAATTTTATATAATGTGTATGGTTTATAAAATCTAAATATCTGAAAAATGGACCCATTTATGTCACTAACTGGGAAACTTATATTTCTGTCCATACAGATGAGATTATTTATTTTTTTTTAAAGATCACATTTTTTTTTTTTAAGATTTATTTATTTGAGAGAGCGAGAATGAGAGAGAGAGACAGAGCACATGAGAGGGGGGAGGGTCAGAGGGAGAAGCAGGCTCCCTGCTGAGCCGGGAGCCTGATGCGGGGCTCGATCCCAGGACTCCAGGATCATGACCTGAGCCAAAGGCAGTCGCTTAACCAACTGAGCCACCCAGGTGCCCCGAGATTATTTATTTTTAAGCTACTTGATAAAACAGGTGTAAAAATTAGCTGGCACCTGTCTATTATTTAAGTGGTTCTTCAAAATTTCTTCTTGGAATATAGGGTATCTAAACATAAGAAATTTTTGCTGTCTTAGCAAAAACTCCTTTTAAATATAGATCAACTCTAATTCGACCAAGTTCAAAATGCCAGATATTACATATTTCATTAAGTCCCAGATTTTTACCAATGTGTGTAATTTTTTTAACCATAGTAAACTGTTTTTGAACTTTTAATTCAAAATATTCTAAGCAGATAAACTCTAAGAATTAAAGACTCTTTACATACTTGACTATGTTTACACTCAGAATGATATTAAATATATCTCAGTTGTTTCAAACCACATGTCTATGCAAAGAAAAGGTCACTAGATTGATTACTGATGAGGGTTTATTTGCTTGTTTGTCGCTATACATTCATTTACAAAGTATTACTAATTGTTTCTTCCCTTACACGAAGTCTTTCAATATCTATCCCTTTAAGAAATATACAATAAGCCTGACATGTCTGTTATTTCATTATCATGGCCAAGATCATTAAAAGCTGAATGTCTTTTGTTAATGACATGGCACTAAGTCAAGATAGAAAACAGATGGCACTGTGTACACTAGAGGGTGTGTGTGTGGGGGGGGAGGTGGGCAGGTATCTGTGTTCACCTGTACATATCCAATCAGATAACAGGCTAAAAGAGAATAAGAAAGATAATTCTTAGAGTTTCCTGTCGGCTAAAATGATGTATATTAAAGTAAAAGGACAAAGCTTTTTGCTTATTTTCTTTACAGCAGCAATGGGTGCAATATAATTGGTGTAAATATAAAAAAGAAATAAAGCACTCAATGCTACCTGGCAGTTTCTAACTATAAAATCGCTGATAGTATGGTTTGCATAAGTATCTATTCTCTCTAGATCCCCTTGAAAATGAGAAAATGCACTTTTATTTTACATCGGCTCCTTTTTTTGAAGAAGCAATTGTGGCCTCTGGGAAGTTAAAAGACTCTGTCAGATGGGGAAAATCAATTTTTTCTTCTCATTCTTTCTTTCCTAATTTGTAAATGGGAATAATAGCACTTAATTTACAGAGATTCTGTGTGTACTACAATGTAATGAAAGCTCAGTAAATCTAATCCTTAGCATTTATTAAGTGCCCTGTACCTGACACTACCAAGTATTTGGTATTCATTATATTATTTAATTTCTCAAACAAAGTGTAAAGATTCTTATTATTATCATCAAAGTTTTACAATTGGGAAAATGAGGCTTACATTACTAGCCCAAGGTTAATTTTGTTGAAAGGAGCAAGAGGCAGGATCATCACCGCAACCTATCTTTGTCTCAGTTCAGAGCTTAAGCTTGTTAAAAAAAAAAAAAAAGAAAGAAAAATGAAATAAAATTCATAATATATTATTCAAAATGTATATAATCTCCATTGCTTATGTATTGATACACGAATTAAAGTCTATTTTTTTGACAAAATTTAATGTATAGATAAATAATAAAAATATTTAAACATGTATAACATACAAAGATATAAACCAAAAGATAAATTACAAATTTATTCTTGGTTTTGTTTTATGGTCTCTCTTCCAAAGTGTACTCTATACCATTTTGCTCAAAGTTGGATATATAAGGCATCTATTGGTTTTTGTGCTTAAAGAAATACTGTTGTTGATGTTACAGCTGTTTTTAATTAGAAAGACTAGGGAGAAAAAATCCAATGTGTAACCTACAGCACCTTCCAGACTGTGTTTATACACAAAGTCTGCTGTTTGATTAGAAGTTGAAACTGTTGCTGGCAGTTTGATTCATTTTTGTGTCTGTCTCTTTGACTCATTGTTTTCTTGCTTTTTGTTTCTCTCACATTCTCACTTAATACATGTCCTTATGGTATGTCCGCTGTTCCCTATCTTTTGGAAATTTGATACTTATATTTCGTTATTTTCCATGAACTCCAATGGTTATTTTTTAATGGCTTGCTATAGCCGCCTTGCAATAAAGCAGAGAAGAGGTTTGTAGGTCTTGTCATTCTTGCTTGTGTAAGTAGAGGGACATACTGGATTTGGCAAACACAATTTCATACTTTCAAGTATTCTCTAAAACTCCACTTTTTGATGATCCTGCTTGTTTTCCTTTAAGTTGTTAATTTATTAAATAAAAATTGATATCGGGGGCTAAATGTGGTACTTGCACCAACGCACCATTAGAGAATTCCTTAATAGTTCTACATTTAGCTTATATCATATGCTGGTGCATTTAAACAATTTGGTTTACTTGATGCATGAAAGTAATTCTAAGCTTCCTTTTCTTTTTTTATGTATTATATTTTCTCAAAAAGAAAATTATGCCAAAGGTAAAAAATAATTTTAATCTTATGGGACATATTTACATATTTAGGATCATTCTTCATATGCTATTTATGTTCTTATTTAGTCTCCCTACATTAAAATATACATGTTTCACATGTGACTAGAATTTTTGTTATAATCAAATTATCAGATGCTTATATTTAATTTATACTATAATTCATTTAATTATTCTTCTATTACAAGACTTTTTTTTCTTTTATAAGTAATTCAGATATCAGCATTAGCTTTAATTCAGATAACAACCTCACACCACCATCTCCAGGTGAAAAGTATTCCAGAAAACAGCATTTCATTCCCACCTCAGCTGTAGAAATTGACATAAAGAATGCTCAGGACCAGTCAACAGACAAAATAGGTCACAGTATCAAAATGTTCTCATTCACACTTTCTATTTTACTATTAGAAACAAAGTTTAGTTTTTAAGAATGTTTAATTTTCTAAAGAAATAACTTCTAAGGTTATTATTGAAAAAAAAGGATAAGTAGTTATCCTAAAGTCATAGTCATAGTGTAGAAATGGCCACAACATGAATTTTATCTTCTTAAATTGCATGAATTTTCATGAATTAATAATCCTAATAATGCTAAAAGTAAAAGAGATAAATATAATGCAGGTAAATGTAAATATACAAAAACTCTTCTTGGGGGAGGCAGGCAATAAAAATAAACAACCGCTGTACAGAAATAGAAATCCATCTGAGGGGGACATGTAGTGAGGAGAGAGTCTGCTATTTTAATTTTTTCCAGTTTAACCAAGATAATAGACATAGAACATTGTGTAAGTTTAAGTCATTCAACATGGTAATTTGATACATATATATATTGTGAAATGATTACCACAATAAGGTTAACACCTCTATCACCTCACATAATTGCATGTGTATGGTGAGAATCTGTTCTCTTAGCAACCTTCAAGTATATAAATACAGTATTGTTAACTATAATCACCATGATGTACATTAGATGTCCAGGACTTTTCATCTTATAACTGGAAACTTGTAATATTTGACCAACGTCTCCCCATTTTCCCAAACTTTAGCCCCTGGCAATACCATCCTACTTGATTTCTCTGAGTTTGGCTTTTTTAGAATCCACATAAAAGTGATATATCACATAGGACTAGTGGTTGACTTATCATCTATTGATGGACACTTAGATTGCTTCCATCTCTTAAATAAAGCTGCAACAAACATGAGAGTATAGATATTTCTTCAAGATGGTGACTTCATTCCCTTTGGACATGTGCCCAGAAGTGGAATGTTAAATAATATGGTAGTTCTATTTTGAATTTTTTGAAGATTATCCATAGTGTTTTCCATAGTGGCTGAACAAATTTACATTTCCACCCCAGTGCGTAAGTGGGGTGGAATATCTCATTGTAATTTTGATTTCTATTTCTCTGATAATTAGTGATGTCAAGTAACATTTAATTTACCTATTGAGCACTTGTGTGACTTCTTGGGAAAAATGTTTATTCGGGTTCTCTGCCCATTTTAAATTGGATTATTTGTGGTATAAGATAGGGATCAAATTCATTCTTTTGCATATGTTTGTCCAGTTTTCCCAGCACAATTTATTAAAGTCACTATCCTTTCCCCATTGGCTATTTCTGGCTTACTCATCAAATATTATTTGACTGTGTGTGTGTGGGGGGGTTCTTCCTTGTCTCTCTGTTCTCTTCCATTGGTCTAATTTGTTTTTTGCCAGTATCATACTGTTTTGGTGACTGTAGCTTTGTAATACAGTTTGAAATCAGGAAATGTGATGCCTTCAACTTTGTTCTTCTTCTCACAGTTCTTACTGGATTGCTTTGGCCAGTCAGGGCCTTTTGTTGGGTTTCACATACATTTTAGGATTGTTTT